GTAATGATTCAAATGTGTAATTTCAGTAGTATAGGGATCCCTATATCAAAGGGATCAAGGAGTTTCAAAAGAGTAGGTCAAATGTTGAGATACCCTAATTGGTTTCCACTCTCCTCAGAGGTATCTCAGCTTATTTATCACTCTCCTCAGAGGTATCTCAGCTTATCAGGGATCTACTCCGGACCTGCCCAATAGTTATCCTGAGTCTCCAACATATTTATACCTACACAAAAACCGACACCTTTACAAGAGTTTCATATAATTTGCATATAAAATAATAACTGCATGAAATACATTAAGGTCTGATTCAGGGATCTACTTCGGACCTCCCCAACGTAAACAGTAATAATCTCTAAATCTCCAACATATTTATACCTAGATAAAAACTGGCAACTTTCCAAGAGTATCACATAATTTGCATATAAACTGATAAAATATGGAAAACAATCAAGGGAAATAACTCTTCCATACAATGTAATAGCTTAAAAGTTCTATTTTCAATTAAAGATTAGGCATATTTGAAAAGTTTGGGGTGCCAGATCTAATTTATTATATCAACACATACATTTTTTCTAATTTTTCACCTATTTCTATTACATTATTCCAAACCAAGTTAGCCGGATCAAGCTGGTCAATATAATGGAGACCTGTGATCATATTGGAAAAATGTCATAATAGTCCTACTCTTGTAGTTCTTGCATTTTTTATTATTAATTCCTTAATAATGTTATTATAATACAGTGGAACCCACTTATTATGATATCAGATGGTGATAACAACCTGGTTGTTAAAATATATTTTTTCCATGTACCATCTTCTAAATAAACTGCACAAAAAAAACATGTTTATTATGATAATTGGTCAAACATGGGACCTGGCCGCTTCTCGTAGTATTTTTTTCTGCTGGGAATGGATTTTTATAAACTAAAAACTCAGGTAAGTTGTCCATATGTTACATCCAGCTTACTGTACATCACCCAAGGTGATTGTTACACAGTGTAGCCAAACTACCCAGGTAGATTTTTCATTGTGCAGTGGCGGATCCAGGGGGGGGGGGTCACCTGGCGCATGTGACACCCCACTGTCTGTGACCAGAATTTTGTTTTAAGTAGTGAAATAAAAGACTGTGTCGATCGTGTGACACCCCCTAGCACTGTTCGGTGTGCGCACTAAGGCTACACATCACCTTTTTACCATTACGCATACATTTAACACCATATTACTCATTGAGAGGTATATCACAAATTTATACGACTGGAACATCAAGTCCTCACAAATGGATAACCTCTTCTCCCCTTTCCAATTAGACTCGCCCTCATAACACTAGCTTTTTATTGTTCACTAGGATCGACACCCTCCTCAACGAACTCTGCCCTCGGGAAGATTTACCTGTTGGGATGTGAATTATACCTGAAACATCCCACACTTCAAATCTCCATATTTTATGCAGAACTCCGCATTTTTCATAAGTGATGATTATAATAAGTAATGACTGCTTATTATATCTAGGTTTCAATCTACATTTTTGATTTTCATAGGTGACCGACAATTCAACCAAAATAAGAAATACAAACACAAAAGTATACAGACAGTAGGCTAGCTTTGTATTCAGGACGCAAACGTCAGATGACCTAGCTACAGTAACTTTGTATTCAGGACACAAGCGTCAGATGACCTAGCTACAGTAACTTTGTATTCAGGACACAAACTACAAACACAAAAGTATACAGACAGTAGGCTAGCTTTGTATTCAGGACGCAAACGTCAGATGACCTAGCTACAGTAACTTTGTATTCCGGACACAAACGTCTGATGACCTAGCCACAGTAACTTTGTATTCAGGACACAAACGCCTGATGACCTAGCTACAGTACCTTTGTATTCAGGATACAAACGTCTGATGACCTAGCTACAGTACCTTTGTATTCAGGACACAAACGTCTGATGACCTAGCTACAGTAACTTTGTATTCAGGACACAAATGTCTGATGACCTAGCTACAGTAACTTTGTATTCAGGACACAAGCGTCAGATGACCTAGCTACAGTAACTTTGTATTCAGGACACAGACGTCGGATGCCCTAGCTACAGTAACTTTGTATTCAGGACACAAACATCATATGACCTGGCTACAGTAACTTTGTATTCAGGACACAAACATCAAATGACCTGGCTACAGTAACTTTGTATTCAGGACACAAACGTCGGATGACCTGGCTACAGTAACTTTGTATTCAGGACACAAACGTCTGATGGCCTAGCTACAGTAACTTTGTATTCAGGACACAAGCGTCAGATGACCTAGCTACAGTAACTTTGTATTCAGGACACACACGTCTGATGACCTAGCTACAGTATCTTTGTATTCAGGACACAAACGTCGGATGACCTCGCTACAGTAACTTTGTATTCAGGACACAAATGTCTGATGACCTAGCTACAGTAACTTTGTATTCAGGACACACACGTCTGATGACCTAGCTACAGTATCTTTGTATTCAGGACACAAACGTCGGATGACCTAGCTACAGTACCTTTGTATTCAGGACACAAACGTCAGATGACCTAGCTACAGTACCTTTGCTGTATTGTTTTCGGCCATCACATTTCAATGCTTGAAATAAGTAAGCCATGTGAGAAGCCTTTATCAACAAATCAGTGTCTACACAACTTTTAGAGAACTTGACAAAATTGTAGGCACACTGCATGTGGCGGACATGTTGTTTAAACTTACGTAATCCGTGATGCGATGGCCTTTGACACATGGATGAGGGGCGTTAATCATTTTGGCGCCAAAATTATAAAAAACACATGTTTTTTCACAGTAAAATAAAATTATTACTTTTACTGGATAATTACAATAATTTGATACGATAACTGTTTCACTATGTATAAGTTCATATTGAGAACGGCATTGTTCTGATGAAATTATGACTATTTGTTTACTCAGAGACATACATATTACATTGTAATATATACGTCTCTGGTTTACTTAATGATAACTGGTAAACACAACTTAGGGATTCTTAAAACAAGAGTACCACCCCCCTGTACACTACTCAAATTGGCAGTATTTAACAAGGTGAAAATAGTGTGATTTTAACCATTTGTTTTGGAAATATGATGGCGGATGGCGGTATGCGGTTTTTGCGTTACAACGGATGCATTAACATTGGGGAAATCAGTTCTGAATAAACTAATGGCAGTATGCGGGTTTGGCGGTTTAATGGGTGGCATTAAAACGGGGTTTTACTGTATATGAACACAAGAGGCCCAGATAGCCTGTATCGGTCACCTGGATATCTAATCAATCATGGCAAAATATTCTCCAAATGAGATCCAAGGGAATATGCCAGACCCCAAGGCCAATACTTGTAGCATATCTGTATTAGATATTTTATGCCCAGCAATTTAATGTATGGTTATGGGGTGAGGTTCTCAACAGCTTCCAAGCTGTGACTCAGAAACTAGGTCCCTAGGGTTGTGGCCAGACCCCAGGATCAATTCTAATATCATGACTGCATTCCTCTCTTTATGCCCAACAACTGTTTATATAGTTTTGGGGTGGGGATCTTAACCATTTCAAAGTTATGACCCAGGGGTTAAGTCTCCAAGGGTGGGGCAGACCCCAAGGCCATCCTGGAAGCATATGTGCATTCATCTCTTTATACTCAGCAATTGGCCCCACCATTTTACAGTAGGGATCTCAACCATTTTTAAGTAATAAACTTTTTTGGGCCCCACCCCTTAGCCGGGGGGTTTGCCCCACCATTTGTACAATTTTGAATCACCAACATCTAGGGATGTTTCCTGTCAAATATGGTTGATATCCACTTCTTAGTTCCAGAGAAGAAGTCGCTTAAAGCAATATAGCCAAATTGACCCCTTTTGGCCCCGGCCCTCAGCCCCCTTGGGAGTCAGCCCCACCATTTGTACAATTTTGAATCCCCACCACCTAGGGATGCTTCCAGTCAAATTTACTTGAATTCCAATAAGTGGTTAAGAAGTCGTTTAAAGAAATTATTGACGGACGAACGACGGACGCAACGGTATGGCATAAGCTCACCTTGGTCCTTTGGACCAGGTGAGCCAAAAAGGAGAAAGAATTTCAATTTTCCTCTATTTCCCTTATTGGGCCTCGGTACAGAAGGAGAAGGATCTTTAATGTTTTCCTCTATTTCCCCTAATGGGCCCCTCCCATCTGCCCCAAAGAGGGGGGCCAACACACCCCAGTTTATACAAAATTAAACCATGCTTCAGACTGCATTTGGTTTAAATCACTTCACTTGTATAGCGGGAGAAAAAATTCCTCTATTTCCCCTATTGGGCTCTGCCCCCAGAGGGGCCACACCCTCCGTTTATACAAACTTGAGGCTCCTTTGTCCAAAGATGCTCTAGAACAAATTTGGTCAAAATCCTTCTATTGGTTGAGAAGAAGAAGATTTTAAAAGACTTCCCTATTTTCCCCCTATTTGGCCCTACTCCTCTTCCCCCAGAGGGACCATATCCTCCGTTTATACAAAACTGAGAAGCCTTTGGCCAATCATGCTCCAGACCAAATTTGGTAAAAATCCTCTGAGCTGTTAACCCTTTCACCACTGTAGACCATAATGGACTCATCCATATCAATGTATGGTAGGGTCTACTAAAGTTACATAGGGGTGAAAGGGTTAAGGACTAGTAGCGTTTTAAAGGAAAAAGTTGACGGACGTCGGATGACGGACGCCGGACGCTGCGCCATGGGCATAATTTAGCTCACTTGGCCGTTCGGGCCAGGTGAGGTAAAAAGAAATGATGTGCAACAACAACACTGAATCCGGTACAAAATATGATGTTTGATTTACATCCTACGTGCTGACATGTTTCGGCAAAAGAGAGGCCGTCTTCAGAGCACAGTTACATGTTTTGCAACTATGGTACAATGACACTTAAGGTAATTTTTTTAACATTTTTTTTTGTTAGTTATCGATATCTCATAAACAATTACTCTAGTAAATTACCTGCATTGATCAGAAGTAGAAGAGCGAAGGTGAAGTCGGGAACCTCCGGGTCATTCTTGATGACTTCAATGAAGCTGTACAGTGTCAAACCAATAGCTGTCAATATATTGACAGTTGTAACCAGAAGAAACGTCAACTCAGTACGACTCAGTCCAGCAAAGGTCTTGGTCTGGTGTATATAACAATTAACAAAACAGATATATACAGGTACATTAAAGATTTGACCGCAATAGCAATATTCCTGGTAGAATCTTAACATTGAAAATTATTTGTACTCTGAAGTTAGAAAAGAATAACTGCTAAAATACTCAATTTGAGCACAGACTTGGATACAAATGTAAGGCAGGAACTGGTGATACACACAAACAGGAACCTTTTTTACAACTTAAGTTGGACAGGAAACGGTGTTACTACCAACATAATTTGAGAAGATGTACATAGCATTATCCATGCTTACTGTACAGGTGAATATACTTCAATCTTAATACAATTTCTCACGTACAGCTAAAGCAGTGTGTGTTTAATATTAGGCATTTAATAAGTTAAAAGTTTAAAAAAAATTGTTGTAATGTTTAATGTTGGTAAGGTCTTCTGGTCACTCTGCAAACGTTTTGCAGACAGGAAAGCAATTACATCGTGGCTGTGGTTTTAAAGTGTGCTCTAACCAGGTATAACTGCATGATCGAGCTACATGATTATTAATGTATCTTACTCTGGTATCGACCCACAGGTGTTTGCTTTGTCAACAAATGAAAAAAAAAAAAGCGAGATGAGTGCAAAAGATGTGCATTAATTAGGTTGCCTTGCAAGCTTCAGCTGTAGGGGATTTTCCTTTAGCTCAGCGGTAGAGCATCGCGCTGGAGAGCCAAGGGTCGTGGGTTTGAGCCCCAGCGACGACACAATCTTTTTCACTACTTCTCATCCCACTATAAACTGATGCTGTTAACGCTCCCGGTCAAGGTAGAAATTAAAGCCCCTAGTGGGGAGCTCGATTCAAAGAACCTGGTTTGGTTTTGAAAAAGGGGAGAATAGTGTAAAAGATGTGCATTGATTAGGTTGCCTTGCAAGCATCAGCTGTAGGGAATTTCCCTTTAGCTCAGAGGTAAAACATCGGGCTGAGAGACAATTAAGGGGTTGCGGGTTCGAGCCCTAGAGACGGCAAGATTACTAGGCTCGTCTCTAGTTTATATACGAACAGCTCTGATGGATCAACTGTTCCAACTGTTTGGAACGTGATAAATGAATGCATCCCAGCGGTATCCAATAGTACAATTTCCTCGGGTTACCAATTTCCGCGCACTTAAGAAGGATCCGCGATATAGTACTCATAACGGCAGAAAAATGTTGAAATTACAGATGACTGTCATTAACATGTATACAATCTACTAATGGAAACAAAAAAAATAGCAACATAAAACTGTATTTTAAAAAAATCAGAACAAACAATTTTTGACAAATTTCTCCTGACGGAAGTAGTCTGTGTGTCTATTTTGATTTAGTGTTCAAAGAAAGATAACTCGAATACACTATAAAGAAATTCTCTACAGTGACCTGCAAGAACAAAAGCTTCGTTTGGAATAAAAAAAATATCTTTGATCGTCAAATTAATTATCAAAACATTTTTTTTTTAAATTCACATTTTTATTTGATTTTTCAAGATGTCAAATTGAACGAATTCATGTAATTTTATAAATTTATTTATTATATTTATTTAGTTATAATATAGAATCTGTTATTATTATTTTTCTGCAGTCTTATATCGGTTTTGGTTGATGGTAAGTTATTTCTCAATTTGTGCTGTTTAAAATTGGTGAAAATTGGAAGTTCATTGCATTACAAGGTTAACATTTCATTGAAAACACTGTTTATCGATATAAGAATGTCTCCTTGGCTCTTTGGAAGTGGAAAAAAATCGGCGAGGAGCTGTGGCTTCATTTGCATACGACATTTTCGTACGTTCGTCAGACTACAAAAAAGACCGGTTCATGACTGAAATATATCACCGTTTTTTCAGGTATGGGCTCATTTTGAGCAAGATAAAAAGTGCATTAAGGAAAACTGCATATTTATGCGTGTTTATTTAATCGGTGATTGTTTTCCGGACGAACTTTTTGATTTTTGTGTCAGTTTACAAACGATGGCCAAACGTCTAAAATGTCCTTGTGTTGTGTCCAGCAGGTCACGTAGTTACGCGATATAGCTTGATAAAATGGCTGCGGAATTACATAACGCGCGGAAACTGATGACTAGACGATACTAGTAGCAATTAATATTATGGTCAAGTCTGGAATTTGTACCCTGTCCCTATACCTCCAAACTTCCGAGGGACGCTCTGACCAACTGAGATAAATTGTTATCGGCAATCGAATAAGCCCATAATTTTGCATCAATCTCTGTGAAATAGTACCACTATTTTGTCGGACACACATCCACAAATTAGCATCCGGAAATGAATCGAAAGTAGAATTTATGTATGGTAACTCTTACCTGCCCCCACGACGTAGCTATAGATGTTTTGGGAACATCTGTGATTCCATATTTACTGTAACCTGTTGATTCCTCTTTCTCTTTCTGAGGATCGTTTGTGTTTTCTTCCATGGCTTTTAAATATAGGTGTACCTAATCAAAACATGTATGTTTTACATTGTAGCAGAAGTCATGTGAAAATGAAATCATAAACTGTGTCACAAAAACGCTTAAAGACGAAGGCGTCTATGCAAACGTTTTTGAAACGTAAATTTCATTGCTTCGGATAGTTTCTATGTTTATCCAATTACTGTAAGCGAGAGTTTCGATAATAGCGCGGGAATCTTTTGACAGTGGACAGGACTCGGGAGGTAGAAGGGGTTCACGTCTTTCTGTTTCAGAGTGAGTACTGCTTTCTGTAACAAGGACTTGGCATTCATTCGCGCATGTTTTGTATGGTTACCTAAACTTTTAACACTTCATTGAACTTGCAAAATGTACTAGAATATATAATTACTAGCCAATAGCTCCGCTTTGCCTTAGGAAAAGTTATGTTTGGTTCACGGTAAATCATCAGTTTGGTAAACCAAAGGTCCCTGATTCAATCCTAAGCAGAAGAATTGAAAAAAACACACCTTACAAGCTCTGTTGCTTGACATTGACATATTGGGAACAATTTAGGTGAACATTTTTTATTAGCTCACCTGGTCCGAAGGACCAAGGTGAGCTTATGCTTAGTCCGAATTATTCTGACGTTTTATCGACTTTTTTCCCAGGGGCCCGAGGGGCGAGGCCAAATAGGGGAAATATAGCAAAGTCTTTAAAATCATTCTTCTTTTGTAGAAATGGAAGGATTTGTTCCATATTTGGTCTGAAACATCCTTGGGTGAAAGGAAACCAATTTTATATAAACCGTGGATCTTGCCCCCCCCCCCAGGGGCCTGAGGGGCGGGGGCCAATAGGGGGAACATAGCAAATTATTCTTTAAAATCCTTATTCTTCTGTAGGAAAGAAAGGATTTGGTCCATATTGGTGTGGAACATCCGTGGGTAAGGGGGAACCACTTTTGTATAAAGGTAGGTGTGGCCCCCTTGGACCTGAGGGGCGGGGCCCAATAGGGGAAACATAGCAAATTATTCTTTAAAATCCTTATTCTTCTGTAGGAAAGAAAGGATTTGGTCCATATTTGGTGTGGAACATCCGTGGGTAAGGGGGAACCAATTTTGTATAAAGGTAGGTGTGGCCCCCTTGGACCTGAGGGGTGGGGCCCAATAGGGGAAATAGACGTAAATCTTCAATATCCTTCTTCTTCGGTAGGAATGACAGGATTTTGTCCATATTTGGTCTGAAGCATTCTTGGGTGAAGGGGAACCAATTTTGTATAAACGGTGTGTTTGACCTCCCTGAAGACAGAGAGACGGGGCCCAACAGGGAAAATAGAGGTAAAACCTTTAAAATCCTTCTTCTACCATAGGGATTAAGGGATTTTATCCTAATTTAGTCTGGAGCATCCTTGGGCCAAGGGGACTCAATTTTGTATTAGCAAGCAGTAGGTGTGGTCTCCGAGGGGGGCAGAAGGGCGGGGCTCCATAGGAGAAATATAGGTAAACCTTTAAAATTCTTCTCCGACCATCGGGATTAAGGGATTTTATCCTTATTTAATGTGGAGCATCCTTGGGTGACGGTGACTCAATTTTGTATAATATATATAATATATATCTCAAGTACTGGATGGATCTTTCTGAAATTTCATATGTACTCACAGCACCTACCATGGAGTGCTATATCTTTACTTCATACCAATTACTTTAATTATATTCAGTTGAACGATACAGGCCCTCTTGTTCTGGACAATTTTCACATTTTGTTCTATAACTTTTTACCCGGACAATAATAGTCTGAATGACTGACAAGTGACAATCTCCTTTAATTAAACAAAAAAACCATGGCCAATGCAGAGGCCTGGTCACCATCCATGTTTTATTTTTAAAATAGAGATAGTTATTTCAGACTAATACACATAAGCCAATGTCCATCTCGTCCAAGGTGTTAAGCATGACTTTAAGCATCCGATTGTTGTGGGTCACCTTAGTCAAGCTCTGGACAAGTGAAAGGTAAGAACTAGGTCCAATCTCTAGCAGCATCTAGGCTGTGGCCTTGCAGCAGTACATGACATCACCTGAGGAGTACCCCAAGGCAAAATGTTTCCTAAGAAAATGGTAAAAAAGCAAACTTGATGCTTGCCATGATTATCAACAGATCATTCAAAATTTTGGTTGATGCAACATTCCTGTCACTCTTCAAATGTCTTGTATGGACACAGTTTGAATATGTTAGAGCACTATTAATATAGTCACCTTATAAATTCAAATATGTAGACAAACTGGAGAGTGTACAATGTCGATCTACAAAATATCTACCTGGGATGAAGGGTCTATCAACACCAGCATACACGAGACTTGTAGGGGACAGGATCTAAATGTACAAGGTAATGAACAGAATCTATGACAGAGAAGCATGTAACTTTGTGAATCTTTTGAGTGATGAAACCATAGGAAACATCACAAGAGGAAAAGATATTCCCAGTCAACAATGTCCCTAAGGAAAAAATATTTTACATTTGGTGTAGTGAAAACCTTGACCAACCTGTTAGATCAGAATGCATTCTCTCCTAACAGTAACACACTTAAGAACAGAGCAGATAAACTTTGGCAGAATTAAGAACTTTATTTTAACATATATAAAAACAATGAACTTTTAAATTATGCAGTCATTGAATTTTGTGCATTGTAGAGGATCACCCTAGGTCCTGTATTGGAAACTATGGCACATTACTAGGGCCCATTTTGTTTCCCGCTGGTATCATTTACTGTCCAGATTCCACCTTGTCGGATTCAAGACTGTTTGGTTATGACTAAGGTGTGCATTGTATTCACAAATCATACAACAAGACCTGAACCACAATCCCAGTGTTGAAAATTCATTTTGCAGATTACTAGAACTAACCCTGAGGAGTGCATAGTCACCATGGTCTATATGGACAGTGGCTGACAATACAGACAGGTTATATTACACTCTACAATGCTTTGGGTTATAACAGCAAAGCTGTCAGATCCCCCTCATACAACCATATTACAATTGCTAAGCATCATTAGGCAGATACAAGCATGCAACCTTGATTGGCTCTAGGGTACAGCCCTGTCCCTAGGGACTTGATCCCTAGGTCATAACATGGAAATGGATGAGATCCCCACCCAATTTATATGACTTGGGTTGTGTAGGAAGGGAGCAAGCATTCCTATACATTTACTATCGTAATATACAAGCTGAACTTAAAATTGGAATAGCATACTGATTCATTATGTTATTGTTGGGGTTGAATGTGAAGCTTTTATTGTCGGGGTTGGACATGATTTGAATGCTCACTTCAAATGTTACCCGGCAGGTATAAAGTTCTGTTAGACATTTCTATATTTTGTTTTCATAAAATCAACTTGAATATTTATAAAAGAAAAAATTGAAAACTGGCTTTTGTGAACATGAGAAAACGTACTTAATCTTTTGTACATTGTAGGTTAAATTTAAGTAAATTTACATGTTCTGACAAATATGTTTGACCAGTTTTGATATTTATATTAGACAAACTTCGGTGCAAATGTAGAAATACATAAGGCTGAATTGTACAATGCCTCGTGCTTGGTGCTTACTGAGAGACTGTCATGCTTGGTACAATATATGCCACAATTGTATACACACCTTTTAGTATTAGTGCCCGTTTGTTTCAGCTTTGTTAGCTTACCTACTCATTATTTAAAGTTTCAACATTTTCTTTCATATTATCTTTAGCATATGTGGTAATATCTTTTCCTCACTGTATCATTTTTAAACGAGACACATGCAGGATTACTTATGAATTACAAAATGTTTGAAAATATTTATGGCTAGGTTGTGCTTAAGATAAACAGGCTTGAATTAAGAAGCTTAGCCTGTTTTGTATATAATGGCTCGGTGGGGTTTACCCCGTTAATGGTTGTAGTCAGTGGTATATGTACCATTGTTATGCATTGTAGTCATTGTAGTACGTAGGTAATTTGCCTTACATTTACAAGCAGACTAGCAGTTGGTCGGACAATTACCACACGTAACAGTGTGTAACCTGTGAATTGAACCTGATTTTTGTCTTTATTTCGCCAGGTATTGTACGTGTGCGGAAGTTGCATAGCCCCGGGTACCCGGCGTAGTAATTACCTGCTTGGATCGCTAGTATTGTATATGTATGTAATTGATTGTACATTTTCACCTGGAAAACCCAGCCAGCTGTAACAATCAACTGAACAGAGGTGAGGCCGTCTGGTAAGTTGTTGATTTTTACCATTTTGATGCTTTGTAACTGTTATTTTATCTCGTTAAATCCCCAGTGTAACCTTAATAACAAAGAATCATGTCACAGGTGTTAATTCCGTTTGAGATATTTTACAGGTGTATAATTTCAAATTACGTTTTTTTATATGAAAACGTATGGTAAGAATAAAGATGGAGTATTCTATTTTTGCCTCTGCGTACGTACAGTACTAACAGTTATCGGAGGAGGAATTTATTGATTTAATAGTCATGGTACCATTTTGTACATTTCACTAGATACAGAAACAACATTGGATTTAATCTGAACTATTGCAGATATTCACACGAAAATTGCTTGAATTCTTAAGACGATATATTAAATATCTCGACATCTATTTCAAATTTTGCTCTAGTGACATTAAACATTAACACTGAAAGAACACCTGGCTCTTTTGGCTTTGCAAGCTGAAACGTAAAACAAATGTTTAAATTGATTGTTGTGTAGTAATGAACAATGTCGTTATTTCAGCACTGCACTCAAGCATGCATTGTCAATGAAATCTGATCGAAAAGGTTTTAAAAAACTTGTATTCTATGAATTTGTAATAAAAATAAATAAAGGTAGGTTAAAGGAAACTAGGCCCAATAGGCCCATACTGAAATAATTGCTATAGTTGAACGTCCGGGAGCGCCCACCTATTTTAATTTTAAGCTTTTCCAAACACAACTGGTTTTAAATTTCATTATATTTCAAGCAAACATTGTTCCATTACTCTTGTCTTCAATATTTACATATCAACAGTGGTTTGGAGCCACACTGTGTGGGCATTATCCCAATCTAATGGGGTGAACTTTAAATTGTGAAAATATTAAAAAGAAA